TAAAAGAAAATAGTTTTATGCATATTATAATTTATATAATAATTACATATATTTTTGTTATCTCACTTCACATTCACATATACAAACACAACACACACACAAAACACACACATAAAAATTAAGCGGGGATAAGTAGAAGAAGCTTACGGAAATACAAAAACGTCGACACACAGCAACAATATAATAACATATCACCAATTACTAGTAAGATACTCACTGCCGATTGTATTTCAAATTAACAATGATTTAGCTGAGCCTGCCAGTTAATAGTATACAACTCTTAAGTTGGATTAAGCAATCATATCGAGTAGGAGAGAACGCAGAGGAGAGGGATGAATGAGACAGCGAGTTATTTGAGTAGTAAACTAAGTTTGCCAATATAAACGAATGACCTCACATGAAGAACGCGATAATTTTCAGGCGATGATGTCCAAATCAACAGTGTATACGGGGCACAAGAGACACGAGACACATTGTGTAATTAGCTTATATATATACTTCACGTGAGAATACTATAATACATATAAGTGGATACCATAACTGTTAATATCTAATAAGATACCCAGAATAAAGGAGAATATTATCCGATTAGTTGTGTGTGTGCTGTGTGTTGCTGTGGTGTGTTGTGTGTGTGTGTGTGTGTGTGTGTGTTGTGTTGCGTGTGTATATATATATATATATATATATTATATATATATATATATATATATATATATATATATATATAAAATAAAAGTACACACACACACACCACACACACACACACACACACACACACACACACAGATACACACACACACACACACACACACATATTTCTTACTGTGTACTCTGCATCGCATATAATTACACATGTAACTCCTTGTCTTAATAAACACAATAAAGTGTTTTATGCTTTTTCTCTCACTACTCGCTAAAATCCTTTTATTTATTTTCAATAGAAATAAGTCGAGCCGTTTTTTTATTCTCTAGATTTAGAAATTCTTTTCGGAGTTCTTAAGTATGTTTGTTGAACTGTTTATTGTTTTTGTAAAAGTTACCGTTAAAAATACCCGTTTTCTTTCACATCATTTAAGAGACGAAGTGTAGGTATATGTTTATTTTTTTCCTGTTTCTTCTGTCGTTTCGATTTCATTTTTGTTTCTTTGTGTTTCAAGAAAGATTATGGAAACATTCTGTTAACCTGCCCACATAATAATGATGTTTCTACCAGACAAAAGCGGGAAATGAAAACCGAAATACATAATTTTCCTCATATACATTTCATTACGATAAAAAAAGGAAAAAAGAAAAAAAAAGTGTAGAGGTGATATGAATGGGAGAAACATTAAGAAAGTGGCAATACATAATTTTCGGTTAGCTTTCTTAAGACTAATAAAACCGAAATGGACACTGGAGAGTAAACAAACACAATTTTAGCTTCGAGTTCATTTCTATTTCACCGAGAGAAGAATTCAAGCCTGAATCGAATTGTACAATTTGTTGTTCCTTTCTTATTGTGGTTGTTTCGTTTCGTCGCCAGTTCAATTAGAAGGATAAAGAAAATCAAAAAGTCTTTGCCAATATACCATTATATATGCATATTTTCAGTTCATAAGCTCATTCAGTAAAGCCCCACATTTGGCGTGTTTGCTTTCTTAACAACTATAACCAAGCATCGCATTTTACTACCGAAAATAACATTCGGCGACCATATTAGCGACAATCGAATTTACCATAGACCCCCCTTCCGTTCTCTGCTAAATAGTGCACATGATCTCACAGAAAACGGAAAGTATTGCTAGGTTATCATTCGAAAAAAAAAGAAAAGAAAAAAATGATGATGATGCGGAGAGGTGAGGGCTGAGAATGATACACAAATAAACTATTACTTTATCGTCTCTGTTATTTTCTAATGCGGAGCGACCGAAATAATAAATTTCTAAGTCCAAATCCGATTATTTTTTTCTTCTATTTATTTAATCGTTCGCGTTTTTCGACTTTTTTTTAGTGTCAGTTACATGCCAATTGCTAGGTTTCAATGGAAATTAGTTTGCATTGACACATATTTGTTCGGAATCTTACATATATTACTACATGTTTTATGTTTCTTTTCATACTCTCATGTATGTGAAATACAATGCTCTCATATATATATAAATTATCGTATTCCTCCATAAATAAGATCAAATGTTCTTATATAAATATGCATTATTATATTCTCATATATATAAAATATCGTATTTCTCCATAAATAAATTAAAATCTTATATAAATATATATTACCATATTGTCTTATATATAAAATATCGCATTTCTCCATAAATTTAATATAATATCTTTATATAAATATATATCATATTTTCATATCTATAAAATATCGTATTTCTCCAAAATAAAATATAATATCCCTATATAAACATAAATTATCATATTCCTCAAACAAAATATCATATTCTTCGAAAAATAAAACATATTCTTATATAAATATATATTACCATATTTTAATAGAAATAAAACCATATTTTCACATAAATAAAATACCACATTCTTATATAAATGGAATACCATAGTCTCATATAAATTAAATACCATTCTTATATAAATTAAATACCACATTCTCATATAAATAAAATACCACATTCTCATATAAATAAAATACCACATTCTTATATAAATAAAATACCACATTCTCATATATATATTAGTTCCTCCTCTCAAACGCCTTCGTCCGAATCTCCATACGTATCAATGCAATCACACGTGGCCGGCTCCTCCTACAACTCCTTCCAGGGATGAAAACGGACTTTCCTGAAGGAGGAGCAATTCACCAGCGGGTTCATAGCGGACATCTTCCTCAGGGGGTTCATCTGCACCTCCTTCAGCTCAGGAATGACGTCGCACAAGATCCTTCCCAAGGAGGAGTTTCGGATCTCCATCAGCTGGGCTGCGGGAGAGGAGGGGGCGGGGCTTGTCAGAGGGAAGGAACGCGGGAAATTTGAAAAGCTTTAGTGTGGAGTCAATGGTCGGTGAGCCTGTACACATATACATAGACATGTATCCATCCATCCACACACACACACACACACACACACCACATATATTATATATATATATATATATATATATATATATATAATATATATATATATATATATACATATATATATATATATATATATATATATATATATATACATATACATATATATATATATATATATATATATATATATATATATATATATATATATATATAATATATGTATATATATATATATATATATATATATATATATATATATATATATATATATATATATATATATATATATATATATATATATAATGTATACACACACACACATATGTGCCTGTGTATTAACATTGAAATATATTTGCTATCAAAGAAAATGTTTCAAAGGTGATCTGCCTTGTGCTTTCTCCCTCCACTACGTCCCTCCCTTCCTCCCTCTCTCTCTCCTTCTTCTCCCTCCATCCCTTTTTTTCACTTTTTTTTCAACCAGCACCCCCCCCTCTCTCTCTCTCCTTCCTCTCCCTCCATCCCTTTTTTTCACTTTTTTTTCAACCAGCACCCCCCCCCTCTCTCTCACTCTATCCCTTTTTTTTTTTTCTCTCTCTCTCTCTCTTTCTAATTCCTCCCTCTCTCTTCTACCCGACCCGTCTCCCTTCTCCCCCTCCCTCTCACCCCCCCCAAAAAAAACAAAATCCTCACCTCACCCCCCCAAAAAAAAAACGCCAAAATCCTCACCTCACCCCCCCCCCAAAAAAAACGCCCCAAATCCTCACCTCCCCCCCCCAAAAAAAACGCCAAAATCCTCCCTCACCCCCCCAAAAAAAAAAAACGCCAAAATCCTCACCTCACCCCCCCCCAAAAAAAAAAAAACCAAAATCCTCACCTCACCCCCCCCCCAAAAAAAAACGCCAAAAATCCTCACCTCACCCCCCCAAAAAAAAACGCCAAAATCCTCACCTCACCCCCCCCCAAAAAAAACGCCCAAAATCTCACCTCACCCCCCCAAAAAAAAAAACGCCAAATCTCACTCACCCCCCCCCCCAAAAAAAAAACGCAAAATCCTCACCTCACCCCCCCCCCCAAAAAAAACGCCAAAATCCTCACCTCACCTCCCCCCAAAAACGCCAAATCCTCACCTCACCTCCCCCCCCCCAAAAAAAAAGCCAAATTCCTCACCTCACCCCCAAAAAAAGCAAAAAAAAAAAAAAAAACGCCAAAATCCTCACCTCACCTCCCCCCCCCAAAAGAAAAACCCAAAATCCTCACCTCACCCCCCCCAAAAAAAAAACACGCCAAAATCCTCACCTCACCCCCCCCCCCAAAAAAAAAAACACGCAAAATCCTCCCTCATCTCAAAAAAAAAAAAAATCCTCACCTCAAACCCCCAAAAAAAAAAAAAAAACGCCAAAATCCTCACCTCACCCCCCCCCCAAAAAAAAAAAAAACACGCCAATCCTCACCCACCCCCCCAAAAAAAAAAAAAAAAAAAAAAACGCCAATCCTCACCTGCTCGAACCGCGTGTCGAGGTCATCCGTCTCGTACCAGTACCTGTCCCCGACCTTGAGCCTGAGGAATTGGTCGGCGAGGATGCAGGCGAAGGTCGGCCCGACGAGACCCCCGGGCACAGGCTGCTCCATCAGTCCGCCGATGAACAGGTCGATGTCGTCCACGTGGCTAGGAGAAAGGGAGAAAGGGAGGGAGAAAGGAGAAAGGGAGAAAGGGAGGGAGAGCGAGGAGAGGAGAGGGGAGGAGGGAGGGAAGGAGAGGGGATGGATAGGGAGGTGAGGAGAAGAGGGAGCGGATAAGGGAGAGAGGGAGGAGAGAGGGATAGGAAGGGAGGGAGAGAGGGAGGGATAAAGAGGGAGAGGAGGGAGGAGGAGGAGGGAATAAGGAAAGGGAGAAAAAAGAAAGAGAAGAGAGAAAGAGAGGGAGAGGAAGGGGAAGGAAGATGGGAGATAGAAAGGGAGGGATAAGGGAGGAGAAGAAGGGTCCATGCGAGGCGACATGTACGTTGGTAAGAGACAGCGGAGGGACAGGGAGGAATAAGAAGATAGGAGGAGGAAGAAAACGAGTAGGAGGCGATAGGGCAAGGAGGAAGCAGAGGAGAGAATGGGGACTAGAACCAGGAGAGGAGCAGGGGAGGGATGGGAGAGAGAGCGAAGAGGGAGGCAAAAATAGGCGAGAGGAAAAAAAACAAACAACAAAAACAAGACAAAGGAAGAGATAGGAGGACAAAGAAGAGACAAAAAAACCATAGGAGGAAGGGACTATAGAGGCGCACAAAAGCGAAAGGCGAAAGCAGAGGCAGGGATGACCGTGCTGCCGCATGCAGAGCGCCGTAGAGACACGGGAAGAGAGCACTAACACCGCGGGCCGAGGAGAGCCCCCCAAAAGGAGAGAGGGCTTGCGAGGAAAAAGAGGAACAGCATCGGCAAGAGACCGAGGGGGCAAGGGCGAAGCAGCGAAAGAGGAGAAAAGCGACATCAAGGGAGAAGGATTAGGTGCCGAGGAGAGACAGGCCACAAATAGGGACGAGGGACTCACGATGGAGGGGAGGAGTGAGAGAGATAAAGGAAGAGAGAGACAATACGGGAGTAGGGGAAGCCGTAAGAGAAAGAGGAGGAAAGGGAGGAAGGGAAGGGCATAAGGGAGGCTTGAGAAAGAGGAAAACGAGGAGGAAGGGATATCACTGGGCAGGGAACGAAGAAACGAACCAAAATATAGCGTATGATTAGAGTAACACAACATACATATACTCAAAAAATAAAAAAAAAATAAATAAATAAATAAGATATAATAAACTAAATACTCATAAAAAAAAAATAAATATATAAGATAGGAGAGAGGGTTAGATCGTTTTTTTTCCGGGGAGGTTATGTTTGTTCATTCAGGCATCAGATATAATATATATAATATAAAGACTAAATAAAAGATAAGAGGGAGGACCTACTAGGGCCAGGAGGCCGGAAGGCCGCACATGAGGAAATTATAAGGAAGAAGGTATGAATGAAACAGACAATGTGTATGATCGAAAAGTTATAAAGACGACACACGCACAGGTCGTCTTTGTTGAAGAAATGTATCAAAAAAAAGGAATTTTCGGAATTAATTTTAATTCTCAAATATGCGAAAGCCCCTATATGAGAAAAGATATCCATACACACACCCACACGACACACTCACAGCGGCAACGCACATAATAACTAGGGCAGGGAGAAAGGGAGGAAGGCGGAGGCGCACTAGGGGGGAAGCCAAGGGGAAGGAAGGGAGGGAGGATGGGGAGGGATACGGCGCAACGCGTGAGAGCGGGAGCGCCCCACTACGGGGCGTGAGAGGAGGCAGAATACGCGAAGGGAGGAGCGCGGAGGGATAAACGGCGAGCGGAAACGAACAAGGAGGCCAGGGGAGGGATAGGGGGAGAAAACAGGGGAGGGGAGGGAGGACTAGGGGAGGGAGAGGGGCGGGATAGGGAGGCAGAGGGGAAAGGGATAGGGAGGGGCGAAAGGAGGAGGGATAAGGGAGCGTTGGGCTTATTTATTGTTTATATGGTTATATACGTTTGGGTTATGCTGTTTTTTTCCACAAAAGGTTTTTCAACGAAAATTGTGATCATTATCGTGCTGACTGGGAGAATCGACAATCTGCGCAATCACACACACACACCAACTTATATATCACCAAACTTATCACCACACACAAATTAGAACAGGACACCACACACAGCAATAGAGATGATGGTAGACCGAGCGACCATATAAGAGTTTGGTTGTTTGTTGGTTACGCAGGATAAGATAACTCCAAAAGATAATGGAACAAGATTTATTAATGATTTTATATTCTATATAAACACAAAGAGAAAAAGCGACATATCAAGCCCCAGCTTAGATTGACACGGATAAAATGGATGCAATGGTGATCACAGTATTTGATCCACGTCTAAAAAAATTTAATGTCAATATCTTACGTGGCACAAGCTGGATTCGGTTAGCAATCTCAAGGCGAGCGCTGCTAACAATGGGTCGACTAGATTTTTCATATTTAGGACAAAAAGCACATGGGGTTTATTTTGATCGGACGTCAACAAAGTCCCGGACTTTGGTGAAATATGGTCGAATCATTTTGGTCTTTCGACTGTGCAAAAAGCATGGAAAATATGACTTTAATGGTCATAATTTCCACCGAACAACCATCCCAAACAGAGGCCACGACACCTCCTCCAGTCGCTCCTGATCTTCTACCCTTCCCCCGTGATTCTTCGAGCGAATGCCCCCACAAGCTCCTTCCCAGGTACGACCCCGCCTCCACCTACCTGTACATGCTCTCGAGATTCTTCACCGCTTGACCGTCTATGTCCGGTTGCAGGTCGGCGAAACTGGCGACCAGGGGCAAGTTGCAGACTGCTCTCATGGCCGTGTAGGGAGGCAGGCCATGGTCCCGCCCTCGCTGCACGTTGACGGCCACGAGGTCGAGTCCGAAGGGCAATTCCCCGCGGAAGAGGCGACCTGCGACTGGTGGGGGCGGGCGGGGAAGGGGGCGGCGGCTGCAAGAAATGGAGGAAAGGTGAGGAGGCACGCGCGTGTTATTTGGATTTCTCTGTCTGTTTGGGGGTCTTTTCTCCTCTGGTCCTCGGTCTGTCGTCTGTTGTCTATTAATCTATGGTTTCACTCACTCTCTCTCTCTTTCCTTTTTTCTCTCATCTCTCTCTCTTCATCACATCTTCCCTCTCTCCTCTCTTTCTCTCTCATCCTCACAACACAGACACACATCCACATCCACACACACACCACAAACTCACAACACACATCCACATCAACACACATACAACACACATATGACAACATCCACACACACACACAACATCACACACCACAACACAACACACAACATACAAACATCCACAACAAACTCACACACATCCACACCCCACAACCACAAACACACCCACACCCAAACCCTATATCAACCAAGACCTACAATATACAAGATAATACAATTAACAACACAGCCCCAATACCCACCCGCCGTGGGATCTACATAAACACCGAACACCGACCTAGGTAGTCAAGCCCCCTCCCTCCCCCCCTCAGTCCTACCTGCGGGCGAGAAGAAGCATTAGGTAGTTCAATCCCTCCCCCCCCCTTCCCCCCCTCGTCCTACCCTGCGACGAAAGGAAGCAGTGGTAGCTCAACTCCCAAATCCCTCCCCATTCCCCCCTCATCCCTCCTCCCCTCCCTCCTTCCCTCCCTCCCCCCTCCCCCATCGTCCTACCTGCGACAAGAAGAAGCAGTAGGTAGTCCCCTCCCCTCCCTCCCTCCTTCCCCTTCCCCTCCTTCCCCCTCCCCTCTCCCCCTCTCCCCCTCCCCCTCGTCCTACCTGCGACGAGAAGAAGCAGTAGGTAAGTCAATCCCTCTCCCCCCTTCCCTTCCCCCCTTCTCCCCCTCCCCCTCCTTCCCCCCCTTCCCTCCTCCCCCCCTTCCCCTTCCCTCCCTCCCCCCTTTCCCCTCGTCCTACCTGCGGCGTGAAGAAGCAGTCAACTTGCGTGGCGCTCTGAGCCAGTTCCCCCCGCACCAGGTTCGCCAGCGTCCCCTTCGTGTACAGCGAAAAGGGGTTCATGAAGGCGGAGGACATGGACTGGGAGGAGGTGTCTCCGTGGGCGTCCATCTCTTGCAAATTGCCCTGGTGGGGGGAAGGAAGGGGGTAGGGAGGAGGGGTGGAGGGTGGGGAGAGGGTGGAAGGAGGGTGTTGGGTGGAAGGAGGGTGGTGGAAGGACGGGTGGTGGGGGGAAGAGTGGAGAGGGGTGGGGAGGAGGGTGGAGGGGGGTGGGGAGGAGGGTGGAGGGGTGGGTGGAAGGAGGGGGTGTGGAGGAGGGTGGAGGGGTTTAAGGAGGGTTAAGGGGGGGAGGAGGGTGGAGGGGTGGGGATGAGGGGGGAGGGGGTGTGGATGAGGGTGGAAGGGGTGGGGAAGAGGGTGGAGGGTGGTGGGGTGGAAGGAGGGTGTGTGGATGAGGGTGAAGGAGGGTGGGGTGGAGAGTGGAGGGGGTGGGGAGGAGGGTGGGGGGTGGGGTGGAGGGGGGAGGGGTGGGGGTGGGGAGGGGGTGTGGAGGAGGGGGAGGGGTGGGGGTGGGAGGAGGGGGAGGGGTGGGGTGGAAGGAGGGGGTGGGGAGGAGGGGGAGGGGTGGTGGGTGGAAGGGGGAGTGGAGGAGGGGGGAGGGGTGGGGTGGAAGGAGGGGGTGTGGCGGAGGGGGGGAGGGTGGGGGTGGAAGGAGGGGGTGGGGAGGAGGGGGAGGGGTGGGGGTGGAAGGAGGGGGGTAGAGGAGGGGGTGGTGGAAGAGGAGGGGGTGTGGGAAGGGGTAGGAGGGGGGTGAGGGGTTTTTAAGAGGAGGGTGGGAAAGAGGTGGGGAGGAGGGTGGAAGGGGTGGGGTGGAAGGAGGCGGTGGGGAGGAAGGGGGAGGGGTGGGGGTGGAAGGAGGGGGGGTGGGGGGGGGAGAATTGGGTGTGGTGGAGCTGGAAGGAGGGGTGGAAGGAGGAGGTGAGGGGTGGATGGAGAATGGGAAAAGTGTGGAGGGTGGGTGCGAAGGGATCAAGGGGAAAGTGGAGGAGGATGGGGAATGGGAAGGGAAAGAGGAGGGGAGAAAATGGGTGATATGAATTGATTTGCATATGGAAAGGAATGTTTTTTTTTCTCTATTATAAGAGGATTTACATATTTTGAAGAAATCATTAGTTTGTTTTAAATAGGAAATTTATGTAAGATTTCAATTAAATTTACTAATATTCTGTCTCTCTCTCTCCTCTGTCTGTCTCTCCCAGGTTCCTTTCCTGCATCCCTCTTTCCCTCCTCTCCTCCTCTCTCTTTCTTCACACACACACAACCCCCTACCCCTTCCTACTCCTTTCCCCCCACAAACCCCTCCCTCCCACTTCCTTCCTTCCTCTCCCCCTTTCCCTTCCTACTAACTCTCCCTTCCCTTCCTCCCGCCCCCC